GATCTACCTGCCTCTGCCATCAGTGCTGGGGTACAGAGCAGGCAGCTGTACCCCTCTTTCTAGGGGTCATAACTCAGGTTCTCCTGATTGCATGGGAAGCGCTTCACCCACTAGTCATCTCCCAGCCCCGTGATGGGTATTTTGAAAAGACAAGTATCTTGCTCTAACGGAACCCAAATCAGGAGGACCTCGTCTGGTCCAGGCATCAGAGAGCGCCCAGACAAAGCTAGGACTCACCTTTGTCCCAGAGCTGCTACTGGAAGGTTCTGGAGCTATTTCTTTAATATTTCTTTTTATTATTTTAAATTACGTATATTTGTGTGTGCCCGTGGGTAGTATTTGTGAGTGCAGGTGCCTGAGGATGCCAAAAGTGTCGGATTCCCCCTGGAGCTGGAGTTATAAGCAGTTGTGAGCTGCTTGAAGTGTGTGCTTGGGAACTAAACTTGGGCCTCTCTGCAAGAGCAGCAAGTACTTTTAGCCCCTGAGCCATCTCTCCAGCTCCTGAATCTATTTTCTTTTTTTTTTTGTTTTTTTTCGAGACAGAGTTTCTCTGTGTAGCTTTGCGCCTTTTCCTGGAAATCACTTGGTAGCCCAGGCTGGCCTCGAACTCACAGAGATCCGCCTGGCTCTGCCTCCCGAGTGCTGGGATTAAAGGCGTGTGCCACCTCCGCCCGGCTCGAATCTATTTTCTTAAGTGAAGTGTCACTGAATGCTAATGAGCAGTTCAGTCCAGATCTCTGGGTCTATACACTGAACCAGCAGACATTTCTGCTCACGGATTCTAGACATCTCAATCTAACATATGCCCACTAATTGTTTTTCCAAACCTTCACTCACCTGAATTTACAGTCTGCATAGAAAGTATTCCCTGGCTGGCTAAACAATAAATCTGGGATTTATGTATGACCCTGCATCAGGTCCAACCTTAAAGTCTCTACCCCCAGTCAACATCGCCACCCTAGAGACAAACTTCTAGACAGTCTTCAGGGGACACACTCAAACCACACAGGGAGTCCCAAGCCTGTCAACACTGCTTTACTGTATCACATGACACCATGGAATGAAAACTATATTTACAGCTGCCTCGCCATACAATTTTGAAAACAAAAGACGCCTCAGAAATATTAATGATTCAAATATCGATCTTTACACAAAGGAAAACAGTTTTGACTGATATGCAGAAATTTTGTTTTATTTTTATATGAGACATGGTCTCATGTAGCCTAGGCTAGCCTTGAGCTCACTATGTAGCTAAGGATGACCCTGATCCTCTTGTCTCTACTGCCCAAGTGTTGGGGTTACAGGCAGGCACCATCACACCCAGCCCCACTGGAATTTTCACATACAGTTTTACCCTCATTAGAATGTTCATGTTTTCGTGTGTGTGTGTGTGTGTGTGTGTGTGTGTGTGTGTGTGTGTGTGTGTGTGATCTATATTTTTACATGCAGGAATCTACGTACATACACAAAGTCCAGAGGACACTGAGTGCCCTGCTCTATCACTCCCCGCCTCATTCTTCTGAGACAAGGTCACTGACTAAATATGGAGCACTAGGCTGTAGCCTGCAAACCCCAGCAATCCTCCAGTTGCCAGCACTAGGGTGACAGGCACATGTGTGACCTGTCCTGTGTCACACATATGTATGTGTGACCATCTAGATTTTCATGTAGGTGTTGGCATCTGAACTCAGGTCCTCACCATTGCACAGCAAGTGGCCTTAACCACTGAGCCATCTCTCCACTCTTTATGTTTTCTTTATCTTGGTGACACAATGTTGCACTATACAGCCCTGGCTGGCCAGTAACTTGCTGAGTAGCCCAGGCTGGCCTCGAACTCACAGAGACCCCACCTGCCTTTGCCTCCCTAAGTGCTGGGATTAAACGTGTGTGCCACCACCACCCAGCGGGTCAAAACACCCTTGCGGGTCTAGGGAGATGACTCGGTCAGTAAAATACCTGCCATATTAGCGTAAGAGCCTGAGTTTGGACCCCCAGAACCCACAAAAAGAAAAAAAAGCTGGGCTCAGCATAGGAGAAGGCAGGGGCGATCCTAAGTTTCAAGTTCACTTCAAGACCGAAAAACCAAAGTTGAGGCGCAAGCAAGGCAGACACCCAGTGTCTAACTCTGGCCTCCACAGCTCCGTGCACACACATGTACATATACCACACACAAACACAAAGCAATAAACAAATGTCCCTGTGTTTGGAGAGGCACAGTATTTGTGTTGACACATGCCTGAATCCGATTTCAAAGGCGCGGAGGGAAGCTTTAAGGCAGAGAAATGTCTGTATTTTGATTAGAGTGGGTGACTTTACAAGGGAAGCTGTGGGCCGAATACAATTTGTCTCCTACAAACTCACATTGAAATATGATCCCTAATGTGACTGATGAGGGTGGTGCAATCTTGAGATGTTTGGGTTGGAAGGCTCTACCTCATGAAGTGATTGAAGCCAGTCCACAGACTACGCTAAGTCCCACGGAAGTGACTTCCTGAAGGACCCAGAGAAGCAGGGGAAGATCTGGGACACTCAGTACACCAGGCTCCGCTGATTCTTCCACGGCGATGACGGAGCCCTCAGCAGTGACTGAAGCGAGGCAGGGACAATCTTGCAGCGTTAACTTTACCAGCCAAAACAAGTCTATTAAAATCTCAGCATTGACTTAAAAGTCACCCTGGTAACTCCTGGGTGCGTGTCCCAAAGTAATCGTGCATGTGGAGGCCAGAGGGCAATGGAGGTGTCTTAGCTGCTCTCCACATTGGTTTTTAAGTGGGGTCTTTCAGTGAAACTGGAACTCACTGGTTGGCTAGAATGGCTGGCTAGGGACCACAGGTCTTTTCTACCGGTGGTCCTCCCCATCAGCACTGGGGGTATGACCCTGTCCTGCTTTTATGTGGGTTCTGGGAACTCACACTCAGAACTTCATGCTGTGTGGCAAACACTTTACTGTCTGAGATATCTCCCAGCCCACCAAGGTAGTGTCTCTCTCTCTCTCTCTCTCTCTCTCTCTCTCTCTCTCTCTCTCTCTCTCTCTCTGTGTGTGTGTGTGTGTGTGTGTGTGATGCAGGGTCTCTCTATGTATCCCTGGCTGGTCTGGAACTCACTATGTATACCAAGCTGGCCTCAAACGTGTCTCTGAGTGCTGAGCCCTGGGATAACAGGTATATGTCACTATGCCTAGCCATAGGAAATAATTATAAAGTTAAAAAAATACATACGACTGGGATATTGCAAGCTGCCTTGCTTGTCTGTTGTGTTAGGGGCGGGATCCAGAGCTTCAGGCAGTCAACACAGGTCTGATGACACACGCCTCACCTACCAACAACATAGCCAAGAGCCACACCTGCGGTGGGGATCCAAACAGATCTCTGCCTTACAAGAGGGACAACCCAAAATGTGAGCACTAGACCTTGAAAATCAAACCAAACCAGTCCCAGCCCTACACTCTGGTTTATTGTGGTATCCCTGCGGCAGTCCACAGCTACGTGCCTAGCTGCCACTTGGAGTTTTTAAGAACTCCCAATCTTAACTTAAAAAAATGGGGGGGATTAAGGAAAAATAATGAAGTGTATTTGTACAGGTATGTGCACCTGAGTACAGATATCCACAGAGGCCAGAGGCACTGGATCCCTTGGAGCTGGACTTACAGGCAGCTGTGAGCTATGGATGCTCATATGGATGCTTCCAACAGACCTAAGTCTCTCTCTCTCTCTCTCTCTCTCTCTCTCTCTCTCTCTCTCTCTGGTTTTTAGAGACAGGGTTGGTTTTGTGTGTGTGTGTGTGTGTGTGTGTGTGTGTGTGTGTAGCTTTGGAGCCTGTCCTGGAACTTGCTTTGTAGACCAGGCTGGCCTTGAACTCACAGAGATCCGCCTGCCTCTGCCTCCCGAGTGCTGGGATTAAAGGCGTGCGCCGCCGCCGCCAGCCGCCGCCGCCGCCGCCGCCGCCGCCGCCGCCGCCGCCGCCGCCGCCGCCCGCCGCCGCCGCCACCACCTGGCGACCTAAGTCTTCTAAGCCTTCTGCAACAGCCTCTGAGCTACGGATGTACCCCGTCCCCGCAATGTCTTTACTTTGGTTCAATGGTAAAATTGGTTGCTCTTCCATTTTATGATAAAACATGTTTGTAAAACCTTCATACAAAGAAACAAAACCACTTAGCTGGGGCGAACCTGCCCAAGTTAGTAGAAGACCCTACTGGTTTGTTTTTACTTTTACTGGAGAAAAATTAACTTGCTGTGCTTCACAATGACCCACTTAGCATGGCATTCACGGCTCAGACCGCAGAAAGAAACACCCGTGGTGAGATGCTGGCACCGTTCCTCATGGTCTCTGTTTAATGCAGGTGTGAGCTAACAGGCCATCTCACCCCCACCTAAGACTTCTACCCCGACTGTCAGTTTCGAGGACACAGATTATACTTGGAGGTCAGACTGAATGACAAGGCACCGGGGCCAGCACGCTGTTCCTTTCACCTGACAGGTGGATTTGTGCAAGCAGTTTGGGAGCCTTATGCATTCAGTACTTTGAGAATAGTCCCCATAATCACAGCCTACTAGAAATCGATTTGGGATGGACACGATGCAGATTGTATTCTACCCCTAGGGTTGAGAAAAATAAACTATGCAATTCAAGTTGGAAACAACTATCGCCATGTATAAACAGGATATGTTCAGGTCTATCTAAGCTATACGCAGGATCCTTTCCTACAGGAGTGGCTAAAGGGCTTTCCAGTTTAACAGTCACAGGACCGGCTAATGATTAGGAAGGTTATGGCATATTTAACTGACCACTGTTCTCGACCAGGAACAAAGTGGGCAAGGTGGAAGGAGCGGAGTTCTGAGGTAGCATGGGGCAGCCTGTACTTTGCCCTTACCATCACCGCCAGAACCACCCAGACACTAAGATCCATGTTCCTGGCACAAAGGCTTACAGAACATTCCCCGTACCCTAGAACTGACATGGGCGCGCTCCCTATTTAACCCCATTCCTCTTTCCCTTTGTAGCCAAACAACAAACTACTTATGACGGCTGCTGCATCCGGGGGAGATGGCAGTCACTCACCAACACAGTGTACCTCAACTCAGCTCGCAGCCGTAGCAGCTGCAGAAGGTACAGCTGTGCCCACCCCCCCTGTCCTGCCTCAGAGCCGGGGAACCACACTCCCACTGCCAGCTCCTGTGCCTCTGCTCACCTGAGAGGAACGGACGGAGCACCAGGAACGAACGCTCCCAGGAACATCACTCAACCAACGGTTGGCAGGCGCTGCCTGTGCAAACCCCAGCCCTGGGTCTCTTGGAGGTGTCCTACCCTGGACCGAAGGCTGGAGCTCCCCCAGCCCACAACCACCACCTGCTTCTGGCTCTCCCACCCTCCCCTGGCCGCCTTCCCTCCTGTCATCTCCCATTCCCACACCTCCCCTTGGTGTCAGAAGTCACCTACCTGCTGTGCCGTTCAGCAGGTTTGTAAAAAAACCTGTATTACTTACTTTTCCGTTGCTGTGAGAAAGCACCAAGTCCAGAAGCAACTTATGGAAGGAAGTTTATTTTGGCTTATGTTCCAGAGGGATAAGAGTCTACCACAGCGGGCAAGGCAGTAAGCTGCAGGCACAGAGGCTGGAGCAGGAAGCTGAGAGCCACACCCTCAACTTCAAACATGAAGCAGAGAGAGCACACTGGAAGTGGGGTGAAGCTATAAGATCTCAATCCCAGCCGGGCGGTGGTGGCGCACGCCTTTAATCCCAGCACTCGGGAGGCAGAGCCAGGCGGATCTCTGTGAGTTCAAGGCCAGCCTGGGCTACCAAGTGAGTTCCAGGAAAAGGCGCAAAGCTACACAGAGAAACCCTGTCTCGAAAGACAAAAACAAAAACAACAACAACAACAACAAAAAAGATCTCAATCCCACCTCCAGTAATGTTCTTCCTCCAGCAAGGCCACACCCCCAAAGACTCCCCAAATAGCACCACCCCCTGGGGACCAAGGTTTCAAATACATGCACTTATGGGGGACATTTCTCATTCAAACTACCACAAACCCAAACTAAGACCAGTATTCTCTGGGCAGGGTGCTGTACTAGCTGCGGTAGTTTCAATGAGGATGGCCCCCATAGGCTCATATATTTGAATACCTGATCCCTAGCTGATGGAACTGTTTGGGAAGAATTAGGAGGTGTGGCTTTGTTGGAAGAGATGTGTCACTGGGGGCTGGCTGACTATGATTCCCAGTGCTCGCTTTCTCTTTCTCTGCCTCCTACTTGCAGGTCGAGGTGTGAGCTCTCAGCTGTTCCTGCCACCATGCCTTTGCTCCACCATCATGGACTCTACCCCTCTGAAACCGTAAGCCCAAATTATATACTTTCTTTTATAAGTTGCCTTGGTCATGGTGTCTTATCATAGTAATGGAGAAGTAACTAAGACATTGGTCAAACCTGGGAAGGGCTAACCAGAAAGGAAAAGAGCCTTAACTTCAACTAAGCACACACACACACACACACACACACACACACACACACACACACACACACAAGCAAACACCAAACAGCAAGACTCTTAGAGTGAATTGCAATTAACTGTCAGTTCTTGCCTTAAGAACCCTTCTTTGCATAAGCAATTCTGGAGTCTGAGGAAAGGACCCCACCCCCATCCCAGACAGAGTTTCTCTATACACTCCTGGCTGTCTTGGAACTCACTCTGTAGATCAGACTGGCCTTGAACTCAGAGATCCTCCTGCCTCTGAATCACCCAACCCATGATGATCTGTTTCTTAATTGGTGTCTTTAGACTACCAGCATTCAAAGTGATTACTGATACAGTTTAAGTGTATAGAATACATCTTCCTTGCTATTACCCTTCCCTTTCCTAGTTCTTAAGTGGTTTATTTACTTATAATCTAAGCCCCAATTTTTTTTTTTTAATCTCAGTTCACTTTTAAATTCTATGTTGACTGACAGGTACGTACATGTACTTTCTGATGACATAATCCCAATTCCTCCTTCCTACTCTTTGTACAATTGCTGCCGCTCCTTTAGCTTATCCATACACATACACATATAAGTACAAAATATGCTCTTGCTATTATTATTTTTAATAAACTACCATCCTGTTATATCAATTACAATAAAAAGGATTTTATTTTACTTTGGTTTTTCCTTCTCTAATGTTCTGACCTATACTTTTCTTTTAGACTTACTTATTTTATCATTATGGACATGATGCCTGGTGCACACAGAGGAAAGAAGAGTGTAGCTGGAAGATTTCCTGTGTCCCAGCCAGCCGGCAGTCAGGACAAATCTCCTACTCGCGTCCCCCAAGTAAACACACAGAAGCTTATATTAATTAAAACTGCTCGGCCATTAGCTCAGGCTTATTACTGACTAGCTCTTACACTTAAACTCAGCCATTTCTGTTAATCTATATGTTGCCATGTGTTCTGTGGCTTTACCTGTGTGCCATTACATGTTGTTCCTTGTGCATCTAGCTGGCATCTCTCCCTGCCTTCTTCATGTCTCTCTTTGAATTTCCCACCTGCCTCTAAGCTGCATTGCCATAGGCCAAACAGCTTTATTTATCAACCAATCAGAGCAACACATATTCACAGTGTATAGAAAGACATTCCCCCCATCAGAAGGGGATGTCAAATCTCCTGGAAACAGAGCTAGGAATGGTTGTGAGACACCATATAGGTGTTGGGAACTCAACCAGTCCTGTACAAGAGCAACAACTGGTCTTAACTGCTGAGTTATCTCCCCACCCCAGAGACTTTGGACTTTTAAACAGATAGCATTTTTTAAAGATTGTGGGACTTTTCAAAGCTGTACTTGGGGATAAACAAGAAAGGAAAGTTAATAGTTTATAGTGGTACATTTATGTGTCAAGTTGACATGAGTCAGTTATCCTGGTTAGTTTTTGTCAACTTGATACAAACTAAAGACACCTGAGGAGAGGGAACCTCAACTAAGGAATTTCTTCCACTAGACTGGCCCACGAGCATGTCTGTCAGACATTTTATTAATTAATGATTGATACCCGAGGAGCCAGCCCGCCATGGGTGGAGCCATACCTGGGCAGATGGTCTTGGGTTGCATAGGAAAGCAAGCTGACAAGCCACAGGAAGAAGGCCAGTCAAATTTCCTCCATGGTCCCACTTCTGCTCATGACTGTGTTCCTGCCCTGGTTGCCCTCTGTGACAGACTGTGACACAGAAGTGTAAGCCAAATAAACCTTTTCCTTCCCAAGTTGCTTTTGGTTGGTGTTTTATCACAGCCACAGAGAAGCAAACTAATACAGCTGTCAACCACCTGGGCAGGAGACCACTCCTCAGGAAGGCTGACTCACCTAAAGCCATGATGGGAGGAATAATTACCCTCTTTTCTTTCCCTAAACCCTGTCTTCAGCTACTGTCACTTACGGAGCTGCTATGCAGCTCTGCTAAGCCTGTCCACTTAACTCAGAAAGTGTAACATTCCCTTTTCTATCTTTTTTGAAACAGGGTCTCACTATATAACCCTGGTTGGCCAGAAACTCCTTTTGTAGACCAGGCTGGCCTTAGACTCACAGAACTGCCTGCTTCTGCCCTTTGAGTCCTGGGCTTGGGCCACCACATTCCTCCTCCTCCTCCTCCTCCTCCTTCTGCTCCTCCTCCTCCTCTTCTTCCTTCTTCCTTCTCCTCCTCCTTTTTTTTTTTGGATACTAGCCAAAGTCTAAACCTATGTTTTCTCTGAAGCTGCCCTACCTTAGAAATGTATTGCTGCTATGTGCCTGCTTGCTGGCCTGACTCAAAAGGCATGGCTACCTGCCTTCCTCTTCTCCATATCTCTCCTCCCTGCAGCTACTGGGACGTACAGACTGCTCAATCTGTTGTTTTCTCCCCAACCCTAATAATAAAATTGTCTGCAAGCATCCTACTAACTCCTGCTTTAAATCACGTTATTAACAAGACTAAGAACCCAAAGGAGAAACTGATTTCCACAGTAACACAGCTCCACATAGGTCACCCCTATGTTTCAGGTAATTTTTTTTTGAGACATGTAGACCAGGCTGTCCTGGAAGACATCACAGAGATCTACCTGCCTCTGCCTCCCAAGTGCCAGGATTAAAGGTGTGGTGCCATGATGCCTGGCCTCCTGGTAACACTTTTTGGGGGGTAACACGTTTGAGTGCTAAGATTGGGATTTGAGCATCTACCCTGCTTAAACTTCAACTTGAACTTCCTGAGTCAATGGTTTTGTGCCTGACATTGTCTTGCAGAAATTCTCAGTCATTGTTGTTTCAAATATTTCTTCTCCCTTTCACGTCCTTCTGGTGTCCCTGTTACACATGTCATTACATCTACTGTGCTTGTCTCAAAGTTCTTTATTAGTGGGGAATTTGAGACAGGGTCTGACTATGTAGCCTTGCCTGGAACTCGCTCTGTAGACCAGGCTGACCTCAAACTCAGAGATCCGCCTGGCTCTGCCTCCCGAGTGCTGGGATTAAAGGTGTGCACCACCACACCTAGCAGGCTCATAGTTCTTACTCTCATCTCTTTATCCCAAATCCTTTTTCCTCCTAGGTTTTCAGCTTTGGAGGTTTCCACTGGTGCACCCCGAACCCAGAGATGTTCCGTAACTGCGTCCGTCGAGGGCTATCCTTGCTTCTGCTAAGTGATTTTGCTCTCTAGTGTTTCTTGTTTCTCTCTCACACATTGCTCATCTGTCCTTACAAGCTGCCCACTTTTCCATTAGAGCCCTAGCACATTAGCCATAGTTTTCAATTCCCAGTCTGTTAGAGCCAACATCCCCGCTACGCCGAGTCTGCCTTTGGTCTTTGCTCCGTCTCATTATTTGCATTTTAGTACGTCTTGCGTTTTTTCTTCGTAGCCAGACATGACTGATGTCTTGGTCCATTTCCTATTGCTAGAGCAGAATATCTGCAGCTGAGTAATTTATAAAGGAAATAAATTTCTTCCGGTTCAAGTGTCTAGAGGCTGGGATGTCAACGATTGGGTAGCCGAATCTGGTGAGGTTTTTCTTGCTTCCTTCATGGCGGAAAGCAGAACAAGAGAGCACACACAGAAGCCAGAACAAAGAGTGGGCAGGCGCCTCACTCTGGCATCCGGGCACTTGCAGACCTGTCTTTTGTTTTGGTTTCAGCTAAGACGCTTGTGGAAAACCAGCCAACGCCACACAGCCACTTTCTTTTAGGGGACTTAGAGTACATTTGGCTCCTTATAATGTTGGACTGAGCATGCCCACAATGCTTATAACCACCATATTTCCTTCTTGAACTACGGCCTTAAGTTGAGCATGCTCAGGCATATGCCTACCACTAATGTACTTTTCCACAAAGGTTCCCAAATAAAAATCCCCACACTTCCTCTCCTCGGAGAAGCACTACTTTTGAAGGGGTCCCAGTGTTCTCTTCACTTGCTGTATGTAGTTAAGAAATCTTTCTCCACTCTCTTCTCCTGGATGAGCTTCTGGGTTTTGAACTTGCTAAAATGCATTTGCGTAGGGACATAAGACCTGCATGACCTGCTTTTTGGGAGCTAATCTCTTGCTCTGTGAGAGCAAGAACACATAGGGAAAGGCATTATTACCCTGTGGCATCTGCTCCCAGGACCCACCTCCCACCACTGCCCACACTGAGGAGTTAAAATCCCAGCATAAGAATTTGAGGAGGTGTGGTAGTATGAAATGAGAAATGTCCCTCTTAGGCACGTGTATTTGAATACTTGGTCCTTAGTTGGTGACACTGTTTGCAGGGGTGGAGGGTCCAGGGTGGAGGGGCCGGGTGGAGGGTCTGGGGTGAGGGGTGGGGATGGAACCTCTAGAAGATAGCTTTGCTGAAGAAGGAACATTACTAGGGGGTGGGTTTTGAGAGTCCACAGTCTTTTTCCACTTCCAGTTTGTTCTCTCTGCTTTGACTTTGCCACTGAAGATGCTCAGCTTCCTGCTCTGTTCTCCCTGACCATGATGGACTCTCCCTCTGGGAGCATAAGCCAAAACAAACTCTGTGTAAGCGGCTTTGGTCATGGTGTTTTATCAGAGCAGCCGACGGTAACTAATACAGAACACACTCAAACACTGCTGCAAACAGGCCTTCAGTAACATGGTGGTATGTGTAAGGTGGGGAGCCGGGGCTCGGTGGGAAGATGGGGAGGAACAGTCCATATTCCTAAGATGAGATCTCAGTGTTTTGGTAAGCCTGTGCCCTGGACTGTGAATGCTTTGCAGTACTTGTTGGGGGGATGGAGTTGTGACTTCCAAGCTCTTTAGATGCTGGATAAGAAATGACACATTCTACCCTTTCATCTTAAATATGTACACACACACACACACACACACACACACACACACACACACACACACACACAAAGAATGGTGAGAAAGTAAGATATAATTACACCATGATAGCTGCACACAAGGAATTCACAATTCCCCTAAGAAAACACATCTGGATGACCTGCCTCCTCATTCCCCTTGAAACATGGGAAGGACTCTGTATTTCCTACCCTGTTCCTCCCCTGGAACGATTTCTATCACTTGACAAATCATTACTGCTCGTTAATAATGTCTGCTGAGCTCCCAGATGTGAAGAGAATTCACTGTGCATTCCACAGATGGACTTCCTTCCCCAGTGGGGCTCTTCCCATCGGAACAGGAACTGAGGAATCTATGTGGCCCTCTTACTCGGGTCTGCGGCTGGGTTTCTTATGGAGACTCTCTCTTTCTGGTCCAGAGGAGTCATTTTCTACTTTTACGAACTGGGTTGGATCATTTCACTTCCATGAGTCAGGGAATACTTTATGAAAGACGAAGAATTAAAGAGGCCTTGGGGCGGTGACGGAAGGAAGTGGAAAAGCAAGCATATGACAGCGGCCGGGCAGCCAGGCCAAGCCTCTCCAGGCTGGGAGAACATTTAAGGAAGTGATTTAGTCAGTCTGGTTGGGAAGGTGGGAGACTTTCTGTGGTGATCAGGGAAGAGTTGCTGGGACATGTCAAGAAGAGGCCAGACTAAACGAGAAAGGAGGCCTATTTAGGCTCCGATTTTCTCTACCAAAGTCTTCTGCCAACCTTCCTCCAGCTCCTGAAGAGCTCTGACTGTCCGTGTGTAGGTCAAGGGCACCACTAAGCACCCTCCCCGTTGCCTCAGAGGCCCTTTTTGGCTGTGCTCTTCTAACGGGCCCACCAGACCTGGGAACAGTGCTATCTCATCTAGTAGTTCTCAGCTTCCCCCCAAAACTGAAATCATCTTTTCCCACATAATCATGTTTTGACATAAAAGGAGCAAAAACACTTAGGCAGCTGAATGTTGGGGAGAGGAAGGGATCTCTACTCTCTGTTAAGTAAGAACTGTCTCAAAGTTCACAAAAGCTCTACTCTGCCAGGGATGGTGTTTTAGGTGACTGAGGCAAGAGGGTCACAGGTTCAAGGCCAGTACGGGCTACACAGAAGGACCATGTGTAGACAAAATCCCTATGCTTCACTTCACCCCTGTCTTGACAAGCACACAAAGAGGTCACATAAACTGTCAGGGCCACAGAGCTGGGGACAAAGCTTATATTAGGGTGCAGGTTGAGACAGGGTTTCACTGTGTAACAGCCCTGGCTGTCATGGAACTCGCTCTGTAGACCAGACTGGCCTTGAACTCACAGAGATCTACCTGCCTCTGCCTCCTGAGAGCTGGGATCAAAGGTGTGTGCCACCACCATCTGGCTTTAAACCTAGTTTTTGATGTTTATTCCTTCATTCTCTCTACTATAATACCCTGTCCCTGAGGATGCCCTCTGAGTTCATGGAACTACAATGTGGCAATGGTAAGCCACAAAAATGACTGACTCAGTGCTTTCCCTAATGATGCCACCCACTTCCCGAGAAGGAGAGGGTCAGTTCTTTGTGCCACATTAGCTCCAACTGAGACCTCTGAATTTCTCTTGGCAGAGTAATATAGGTCAGATTCCATTAAGCTCATATCACTACAATGAAGATCTGTCTTTCTTATAAAAATGCAAACACAGCTATGATCTACCAACTGCAGTGAGACTTAATGAGCCAGAGTTTAACAGTGCACTAGATGAGAATGTGATGGTGCTTGGGATTTTGTGGTGCAATTTGGTCTATATCGTACCTATTCGTCTTGTGAATCAATAATTCAATGCCTGATGGCTTCCAAATTACTCACTGTAAATGTGGTTGTATATCATAAAGCCCAACACTATGATACCCCTATCCCAGAACCACTGTGGAGCATCCCACTCCATCAAGTTACTGTTCGGGTAGTGAGTTCTGATGCGGTTTGTTAGGCTGCTGACACCGAGGAGGAGAGGGGACCGGCACAGAGTAGGTCTCAGAGCTCCTAAGTTCACCCACGGTCTCGGATTGCGCTCCAGGAGGGGCTCTGTGCTCACTGTCTCCTAGGCATGGTGTTATTTCTATGACCAGAGTCCTCGTTAGAGCAATTCTGTTTAAGACCCTTTAAAACAAGGCATATTAGCTAGGCATTTGTCACCTTGACACAAACTAGAGTCACTTGGGAAGAGGGACTCTTAATCAAGAAAATTCCTCCATGTTATTGGCTTGCAGGCAAGTCTGTCGGGCATTCTCTTGATTAATGATTGATATGTGGGGGCCCTGGGCTCATGCCACTGTGGGTGGTGCCAACCCTGAGAAGGTGGTCCTGAATTTTCTAGGAAAGCAGGCTGAGAGCAAGCCGTCGGGGACAAGCCAGTAAGCAGCCTCCCTCTCTGGCATCTGCATCAGCTCCTGCATCCACGTTCCTGGCCTGTGGAGTTCCTGTCTGTCTTCCCTCACCAATGGACTGTTACCTGAAGTACAAGACAAACCTTTCCTCTCCACATTGCTTTTTGTCAGTGTTTTTATCGGAGCAATAGAAACCCTAAGACAGGAGGAAAGCCACATGAGAGTTTGAAGCGAATGTATGTACATCTCTGAAAGATTCCGGGGTAAAGTGGAGGCAGGTTGGGGTGAGCATTTCTCCGACAGGCCCACACCGTTGAGTTGAGATTGATTAAGGAAGCAGCCACAGGCACAAGGCCACCAGGAATGAGGAACACATCTACCTGGAACACAAACTCAGGACCAAGATCCAAGAAAAACATCAAACTGCAAAGAGCACTTCAGATGATAAAGGTGATACTGTCTCCGAGATGGGGCCACTTAGGTCTCTTCTCATGCCCGACAGCTGGGACCGCAGCCACTTCTCAGGGCCTGGGTCCTTGGCACGCAATGCCTCTTAGGGTGATGGAACCAAGTGCTGTGTGAGTCTTCTGAGTAGGAGACCAGGCATAGGGCCAAATCACACCTCCCCTTCCCCAGGACTCTCAAACACCAACCCCAGCTTGAAGCCTGGTGTTAGGACAATTCGTGCTAGGGGACTCTGAAGCCTGCTTGCCCTCACCCACTCTGGCACTTCTGCCCCACAAAAGGGAGGGGATTTAAGAGCATTGAAGAAACAAGAGAGAGAAGATGAAACACTTGCAAAGCTTTGCTAGGATGCCATTGCACGCATGTCAGTGTGCCCGAGTGAGAAGGCTGGGTGTTCCTCGGGGTAAATACTTCAGCCCCACAGCTCTGTGTATCATGTGACACAGCAGCGAGGCTAAGTCAGAATTGAGAAAGAACTAATAGAGGCTCCTAAACATTTCAGACCCTCAACGCCTTCGCAGTACACATGGCCTCTGAATGACCTAGTGCTTGTGGAGGCTAACTGGACACTGAGCACACTCACTCTACAGCTCCATAGGAAGAGCACTGGGCTTTGAACTCAAGCCACGCCAGCTGGGGGACTCCGTGACAGCACTTGCTTAGCGAGCAGAAGACTCTGAACTTGATCCCCAACACTCAAAGAAATAAACAGTTCCGTTGAAGATCTGCTGTATAGCACGGGGGATGTCACTTCTGTGTCCTTGTCTCCAGGAAGGGAATATGGAAGCCTACCTTCGCAAGGTTGTGGTTAGATTATATGGAGCCAGGAGGTGCCCGGCAAGCACCCAAGACAGTAGCTAGTGGATGCTTCACCCGAGCAGACATCACCAGTGAGGATCCTCACGACCTACGGTACTGTACTTGGCTCAGCTCTGCCCATGCGGGAGTCACTAAGTGGAGCACCACTTGTCAGGTGTCAAACTGTGAGGCACTCAGTCCTGCTTAGATCCAAGATGCCTAAATCTGACTGAGAACCACATACTATGCTCATGATGGGAAAACCATTCAATAATGCTGTGGGATTAATGGTTCTCATATTTAGCTATATATCAGAATTGTCTGGACAAGACTCTCTATGGATCTGTTAGGAGTTTTCAAATGTTCACAAGTTTTAAAATGCAGATGTCTTCAACGTGGTGCATCTGTGAAAATGACTTTTATCATTTGTTTATCCAAATGGAGTACCTGACAGTGTCAACGATACCCCTAAGCCCTAAGAACAAAAAGGGAAAAGACAGTGCTGGCCAAGGTCCTTAACCGATGTGGTTACAACCCCGCACCGTGATGGGGCCAGTGCTAAGAGAAATGCTAAAGGACCAGCGAGCGGAAAGAGACTGGAGAAGATGCTGAAGGCAAGGGAGACAGAGCTGTCAGGAGAGCATTGCATCTTCCAAGAAGGATGTGCAGACACTGTAGCTTCCAGTTCTTCTGAATGCAAATCTCACTTGGGAACTGTGCCTTGCAGAGACAACCAGGTTATAACACCGTTATTCGGTGGGACCTGACTCAGAATGACCAGTATTTTAAACCACAGACAAGTGAGGAGTTTGGAGCAATGGCTCAGCAGTTAAGAGTACCCTGTTCTTCCAGAGGACCTGTGTTTGGTTCTTAGCACCCATGTGGTGGCTTACAAGCCCCTGTAACTCCAATTCCAGGGGACCCTACGCTCTCTTCTGGCCTCTGACCTCTGAATGAAGACACAGATGGGCACACGGGAGCATGATGGTAGAGACGCTGGAGGAGCACCATATGAAGGTGGTGGGGTGAAACAAATGATTACAGGCCACCGTGCCCAAGATGGCCAGGCAGACTCAGAGGAAAGGGGCCCTGGGTGGATAGGTGGCCCTCATGGTCCTTGGCAGGAACAACACCACTACCACCTTGCTCTTGGATCTCTAGTTTCCAGTACTGACAACGAGGCAACAAACTCCGAGACCTGGAGCCACCAGTTTGTGGTACTTTGGTGTGTAGTGTAAAAGTGAAGACACCAGAGATCATACTCAGCCTACTGGATTAGGGGACTAACTAACAAGAATGGTGCTCACAGCAAGTGCTCAGTCAGTGTTCACTGAGACGTGAACAAGGGGATGCTGGGGGAAAGGAGGGGGAAAGATGGAATTCCCACGTTCCAAACGTTTTTAAACAAGAGAGGTACTTTATTTTTAATTATGTGTATTGGTGTGCATTCATGTGTGGGTATATGCATGTAAGTGCAGGTGTCCCCAGAGACATGGACCCTGGGAGCTGGAGTTACAGGCTGCTGTGAGCCTCCTGACATGGGTGCTGGTGACGAGACTTGGGTCCTCCAGAAGATCAGCAGGCATTCTTAATCACTGAGCCATCTATCCAGCCCCCTCCTTGTCCTAAAGTTTGAACATGTTAACACACCTTTTCTTATCAAATTTCCCATTTTTCTCATCTCTCTGATCCATTTTTTTTTTTCCTCTCACTATAGAACTGATGAGAGCAGTGAACACCAATGTGACAAAGACTGAACGCTCTCCTGCCTTGGAATTTTCTTTGCCAAACAAATTAGCTCATTCCTTTAAATTCAGTATCACTCAAGTTCTCAGGACATAGGCAGAATGGAGCCAGAAACTTTGCCAGAATACCACAGGAATAGTGCCTAGACAGTTCCCGATATTCCCTGCTCCCCTCGGAAGCCTCATGACCTAGGCCTCCACTACTAGCGTTTTTCTCAGCATTCTTGCCTTCTAATCACCCACCAGAATGGTCCATTAATTTCTGTTTGAAGTATGGTGGGGTTTTTGTGGCCCACAACTGCAAACCTTCCCATAATTTCTTCTGAAAACTAGCTCCAAAGGCCTGAGAACCACACGGACAGGTTTATCACAGCAACAACCCCACTCCTGGTACCAATTTTCTAGATTAGTTTCAATCCTTGTTGCCAGATAAATATCTGATAAGAAGAGACTTAAGGGAAGATGGCTTACTTTTGCTTACAGTTTAAAGGGATACGGTCCATCGTGGGGAGGGAATCATAGCAGCAGAGGCTTGAGGTAGCTCATCATATTGCATTTAAGTCAGAAAAGAAATGCTGATGAATGCTATTGCTCAGCTGGCTTTTTACTTACTATTTAGTCCAGCACTTAGGATGGGTCTTCCTACCTAATTAACCTAGTCTAGAAAATAAATCTCTCACAGCCATGCTCAGAAATTTGTCTCCAGGGTGATTCTATATTCAGTCAAGTTGACAATCAATATAAACTACCACAGTGAAGAATATCGTGCCCTTCTGTGTGGTGGTAGAGGCAGAGGCAGGTGGGTCTCTGTGAGTTTGAGGCCAGCCTGGTCTACAGAGTGAGCTCCAGGACAGCCAGAGCTTCTCAGAGAAACCCTGTGTTAAAAAAACAAAAACAAAAGCAACAACAAAAAAATACCATGCTCTAATTAAGAGGCTCAGAAAGGCAGACTTTAGCATTCAGTTTTATGCAGAAAATCAGTTGCACAGACTTGGATTCTGATTCTGGAGATGTAGTCATTCATTCCATCCAGCTTTGAGCTAGAAACACAGTCACCCAGGCTCTTACAGTAGGGTAAGGAGACAGACACAAGCAGGTAGCTTAGAAATATATTATGAGGCTGGGAATGCATCCCAGGGGTAGAATACCTGTCTAGCAGGCAAAAGGCCCTGAAATTGATCCCCAGCACTGGAAATGTTTATATATATATTTAAGATCCTAATTAGGGAAAAAATTTAAAATCCAACAATATACAAGTTAATTAAAAAAGTACAATCCAGCCCTTCCCAATATGTCCAGAAAGTGAAGCACAGCGCTGAAAAATATTCTAGATTTTTGGATTATGGGAGGTATGGGGAATTGAACTTGGAATTTCATCCATGCTAGGCAAAGGCTGCATTTCCAGCCTTGTTTTATGTTATTGTTGACCCTTAAGATTGTTGCCAGGCATGGTGGTGCACACTAGTAATCTCAGCACTGGGGAGGCTGAGGCAGGAAAAATGTTGGGAATTCAAGACCACCTGGCTACAACGTGAATTCAAGGTCACCAAGGATTACATAGTAAAAAACTGTCTAAAACAAACAAAATCGACCTTTCATGTTGTTTGCTACGTTAGGTTTTGAAGTGGGAAACTATTATTCAATGGGAAATCTACCCCACCTCTGCTCACAACTGTATTTTAGAAGCAGATAACATGCAGACTTTATGGGTTTGCAGCTAAAGAGCAGTATTCCAGGATACACCTGACTCCTGTGTTCCACCCAAATCTGATGGCTCTAGGTTTAAGCTCTTGGAATTGGTGCTGGAGCAAATGAAGACTTCTGGGGTCTCTGGGGTGAAATAACTTTATTCTGCATAAAAAAGAATATGAATTCCAGGGGTGCCTGGGTAGGACTATTGTCTGTGTGTGTGTGTGTCCCCCTCCAAAATTCATAGATCGGAACTTAAGCCCACAAAGCAACAGTCTCAGAAGGCAGAACCTTTGGAGAAGGACTGAGCCACGATGGCTCTGCCCTTGAATGAAATTCATCCCCTTATAAAAGAGGGTAAAGGTTGAGTTTGTATCCTGCCATGGAAGTCATCGACCCTTTCTAGAAGTTTTCTGGTAGAATTTTGGGAGTCTCTTATGTATAATATCATATCATCTACAAATAGGCATAATTTGGCTTCTCCTATTTGTATCTCTTTAATTTCATTTTCTTGTCTTACTGCATTGAGCACCATTTGAGAAGGAGTGGGAAATCACAGACAGTCCTGTCTTATTCCTGATTTTAATGGAATTGGTTCTAGTTTTTCTTCATTTTTTTTCCCAACCGGGTCTTGTTATGTAGCTCAGGCTGGCCCTGAATTCTTCATCCTCCTGACTCAGTCTCCCAAGTGCTAGAATTGTAGGCATGCAATTCCTCCCCTGGCTTTGAACCCTTTTTTGATGGTTAAGTTGTAGGCAATGGGATTTTACCCTGCAATGTGAAACAATGAAGCAGACAGAATCCTCCAGGGGTTTGGGAAATGATTCTCATCACCAGGAGCCTCCTCCTGCTGCCAAGTGCATGAATCACCTACCACAGTCCTCCAGGAACTAGGGAAACTACCACACACACACACACACACACACACACACACACACACACACACACACACACACACACACACACCCCTTGCTATCTAGTTGAGGATGACTTTGTACTCCTGATCCCTCTCCCCCCTCCCACCTCTCAAGTGCTGGTGCAAGGATTCTAAGTGTGACCCACCACTCTCAGCTTAATATTTTCCCAGTTTTGGGGATGGAACCTGGGGTCTCACACATGCTTGTTAAGGGTCCCACCACTGAACTACAGCCCTATAATTTAATATAAATACCATGTTATTATTGGTATCAGCTGTTCCTGTTTGTCCCAATAGGTAGCATACTAAACTTCCCTTTTATATACAGAAAAGGTATGGACAGACTCAGTGCCCAATTCTTTGCCATATAATATGTCCACATCAAATTCAAAGAATTCAAAGAGGTAAAGTAATAAGTTGCTATTTCACACATTCTACATCTTTAAGGTTTTTAATTGCAATTTCTTATCATTTGCGTCTTTACAGGTACCATTTGGGTTTCACTTTGTTATGCATTCCTTTACAGAAATTTTATGAATCATCAGTGAGAAGCAGCAGCACTGAAAACTCCATTACATAGGACAGCCATTCTGGTGTAGCATTTCCCGCAGGAAAAATGTTTCATATTCATTTCACAACATTCAGGCTGATGTGTGAAGTTCTCTTCTTTCTAGGCAACAGATGGCAAAGTGGAACTTAGCGGGGTTGAGGGCATGGCCAGCATCTCAGTCAGTCAGGAGAGAGAACAGAGTTAGAATCCACTTTACAACACCCTAGAGCCTCTCAGTCACAAGCCACCAAGCCAGTGTCAGAACGATCAGAGTCACGGCCCATCGTATCCAGAGTCCTTGGGCTGCAGTGGGGTGGTTGGGATTGAGTGAATGTATTCTTCAGGCAGTGGCTCTGGGCACGGACTTACTTAGGTGTGCAAGAGCTGGCCAATGTCTGGCTAGGCACTGGAACAAGCATCTGAGTGAAGACCTAGTCCCAGCACCCCGGGCAGCTGCAAGCCAGGTGGGCACCATGCCTCTGGGCCTGCCAGGGCCTCCCTCCACACCCTGTACACCTTCCTGCCAGTGGTTTCCTGTTAGGTGGCCCTCCCCTTTGAGCCTCTGCTCAGTCTCTTTCCCCTCTGCACCCCGCTCTGCCCCGAAATGAGTTTCCTGCATCTTTCCCCTGTTGGGCTTCTGTTCTCCTCACTTCCCTCCGCCCTGCAACTGGCGGTTTTCCCTCTTACTGTCAATCTGCTGGTTTCTTCAGAGTCCCTCCTCAAAGGCCATCTGTCCTGAATCTGTGGATTCCCCGTGTTCCTACCCTGCCTGGCAGCTTCATCAGGGAGGATGTGCTCATCCGACACAGATTCACCCAGAGCTGCCCTGGGCATAGTAATAAACAGAGGGGTTCTTTTGAATAGCTTGAGCATGTTTACACCAGAATGTGCAATGTTTTCTATAAGAAGTTATATGTGCAAGCATCTTTGGGAGCTGGGAGGAGACTGCCACATGCCCATGGAGGGCAGGGGGCAGGATCACAAGAACACTGCAGTGGTGTCACAAGATTGCAGGGGCAGAAGGGTATGGCACACAGCAGTAGGCCACAGGCAGAAGCCCACGAGCATGCTAATTCAGGCGTCCTGTTCAGGAAGGCAGCAAAGGGATCTCTGAGGCTATGACGCCTGATCTATGTAAGAGGTGTGGGCAGAAGAACGGAATCTGGAAGGGTATGGAACATCCTCTCTCAGGGATGGGCAGGTACTGTCTGTGGTCCATGGTAACGGGCTGACTCTGCATTGTGTCTCCAATTCTCATTTTTCAGCTGGGAAAGTGCAGAATGCTTTTCCCTAGGCAGTAGTCCACAGAAGAGCCAAAGGCTCCCAAATGTGACTGCCATAGCAACAGCCACTCAAGTTGGCATCAGAGTCTCAGCTCTTAAGAGTTTGACCCCCTCTGACCTGGCAGTGGATTACCTCAGCCACTTCCTTTGAGGAAAGAATTCCACAGTATAAACAAGTATGGGGGGGATTCACATTGTGTAGGAACACAGTAGGT